CTAAGGTTCTGTATCATACCTGTCCATATAGTTACCTGTTGTGGGAGATTCTTTGCCTTAGTATCTATTGTAAGGCTGATATGTTTTACTGATTTTGTTTGAAACTTGGATGTTTTTTCTAGTAGCAGGGGAAGACTGTAAAAGAATATTTTACACAATTATTTTATTTGTATTTGTTTTCTTTATATTTGTATAGACAAATATATAGAGGTCATTAAGGGGCTCCAGACAGGAAATGAGGTGGAGCCCCCCCGCCCCTTCCAGCAGAAAGGCTAGGTAAAGCAGAGCCCAGGTAGGAGGATTCTGGTGGATCTTCTCCTGACAGATGGAGGTAGGTGGGGGGTCTCTAGACCAGGACTCTCAAACTCTGGTCCTCTTTGGGCCGCTGTCCTGCAGGTTTTAGAGGTTTACCTGTTTCAACACACCTGCTTCACATCAGAGAGCCGTTAGCAGGCCGGGCAGAGCCCAACAAAGTCCAGAGGGGCCTGGTTCTGGGTCTGGCCTGGGTCTGACCTGGTTCTGGTTCTGGGCCCTTAGCCTGGTTCTGATCCTAGTCCAGGTGCTGGTTCTAGCCTGGTCCTGGAACTCGGCCTGGTTTTGGCCTGGTCCAGGTTCTGGATCTGGTTCTGGGACCTGGGTCTGGTTTTGGCCTGATCCTGGTTCTGGTCCTTTTCCTGGTTCTGGTCTTCTTCCTGGTTCTGGTCTGGTTCTCTTGAAGGTTCTGGTCGTGGTCCTTTTCCTGTTTCTGGCCTGTTTCTGGTTTGGTCCTCTTCCTAGTTCTGGGCCTCATCCTGGTCCTGTTTCTGGCCTGGTCCTGGACCAGTTTTTGGGGCTTTTAAACTGTTTTGTTGCCGTTAAACTGATGGATCCTGTTTTCTGACTCTGTCTGTCTGAGGAAGTTGGAACGGAAGTTTGAGGAAAACTTCAGAGGAGCAGCGGGACGCTCGGAGCGCTCTGATTGGACAGATGTTTGCCTCACTACTTGTGGGACCAGAATCTAAAGAGCGAGGCCTGCCCCCCCCCTCTGGGAGGAGACGTGAACAAGGGCAGCAGCTCAGAGCTCTGTGTGTCAGATGGAGTCCTGTTGGAGCACTTTGAGTCTGTCAACAGAAAGAGCTGAGTCATGTTTAGACGCTCCAGTCTGTGAAGACTGGAAGACTTCCACAGACCCCAAAGCTCTGGGTTTGCTGTGATGGCTTTTCACAGCCAATGGGGTCTGATTGCTGCTTTTTCTGCTGGACTTTTAGCCGTTTCAGATCAGGTTTCCTCTGACCACCATGTTCTGGCTGGAGGATCACATGGTCTTATGACTGACCTTCAGCCAGGGGGAGCTCTATGTTCAGTCCCCCAGCCAGGCCTCTGCCTGGAGCTTGGGCTGGTTCAGCGACAAGGCCAGGTTAAGGAAGGATGAAGCCTCCGCCCCCCCACCCACCACCCTCTGCTGGTTCCCCCCCACAAGAGCCCCACCCTGTCCCCCGGCTGACCATTTCAGATCAGGTTTTCTCTGACCACCATGTTCTGACCTACAAGAAAG